CCCTGCTTGCGTTCCCTCTCTCGCTGTGTCTCTCTCTGTCAAATGAATAAAATCTTTAAAAATATATATATATATTTTATAAATAAAAATCTACCACCCACTCCACCCTCAGTATCCTACCCACCAGAAAAAAAAACAGATCCTAAGAAATGTGTCATCATGCTGATTTAAGTGTATCTTCAAGCACTTTAAATGTAACTATCCCCAATGACCTAGGGCTACACGTTAAGTCTACTCACACAGTTGAGGTTGATGGGCAAACAGCTGTCCTGTATCTTGAGACACACATTAGCTTCCTGCCTTCCCTAGCCTCATAAGCAGCTACTTAAAGTTTGAGTTTTATGCAAGAAAACATTGTAAAGCCTTCAGTGTTTTACTGCAGCAGACTTCAGATTCCTTCCTGTAACACATTTAACATGAAACAGAGTTGAGACAGTTAAAATTGACTGTGTACATTTTAATTGTCTAAAATTTTAAGGAGTGTTTTCATTATTATAGCTACATAAAAAGGGTTGTTGAGGAAAATGAAGAAATAAAAACATTTCACTTGGTATTTGACACCCATGTATAATATAGCAATATGTAACTTTACCATATAGATTTTTCTTCACCTGGCCCCAGGCTAGGTGAGCAAGAATTACTTTTTATATAAACAAAATAAGCAAAACTAGGTCTTTTTCTGGTTCTCTAAAGTTTAATTTATTTCGCATAAACAGCCAGAACTAAAGAACAACTGTTACAGACAGACAGTCAACGGGGATGACTTCAATGTCCCCAAGAATATCCCTTGGGACCCTCCTGGGTAGGGAGAATGAGATCCTCGGTACTGTTTCGATAGGAATAAGAGCCAGGTTTCTGACATTTACTACGAAAGATTACAGCACATTTACCCACAGATTCAAATTTCTATAGTAGCATTAATTTACCAAGCGTTAGAAGGCTTGTCTGGAAAACAGAACTGCATCCAATCAAAATGTCCTAGAATACGCGGGTAACTACTTCCCCTACATGTATCACATGGGCCTCAAATTTCTACCAAAAAATTTAGGAAATGCTTTAGCACTTCACAGAGTAAACTTACTATTTATACTAGCAACATGGTTTAGAAATACCTGAGAAGTAACATCCCAATACTCAAATTTCACTAATTTTTAAAGTATTACTTAACAGTGAAATAAGCTACTGCACGTTTGCTTTGCTATAAAAGACAAATGTTTATTTATATTCTCCTTATACTGTGCATATAAATGATTTAAGAAATAATTCAAGCCTCATAAAAGCTGTAACTTGATGGAGTAACTGTCACACGGGTTGAAGTATTTGTCCAAGAGTCTCCCTGTGCTGCAGAACTTAAACGTTCTGAGTGAGCCTACTGTCAAACACAACAGCTAACAAGTGAATGGTACCAATCTTGGGTTGTAAAACAAGTCTGCTTTCTGTACGGTAACAGTAATAAACATCTGATGAGTGAGGACGGTTTAACAGGCCCCAACCTGACAATTTTACATGCACATTTAATCCTCATTCCACCCTAAAAAGTGGGTGCAGTGATGACCAACTCTTTATAGATTATGTAATTGGAGAGTCTGGAGATGCTAGAAACTTGTTTAAGATCACAGAGCTAATAAGAGGCAGAGACAGGCCTTGAATCCAGATTTACTCTTCTCCAAAGCCCAGTGCTTTGGGCACCAAGCTAGATTACAGGCAACAGCAGTCCAGGGTCCTGATGAACCACACCCGGAACGGGAATGCAGACATGGCTCCCCTGGGAAGGGTGGCATCATGCAACCAACAGGATGGCTAAATGCAGAAAAGCCATCTCTCACAAGAAACAACTGTGAGTAACCTAGAGAAGAGACAAAAAGGAATGCATTTTGAAGGGTTCTTAAAGAGGAAAAAAGAGCAGGCTTATCTCATGTGCAAAAGTACAGAATTTGAAACTGTGTGCCAAGTCTCAGAAGACAAGTTCCAGCTCAACACAAGACACTTTCTGATGCTAAGCAATCCAACAGCTGGAAGAGACTCCCTCCTAGATTACTGAGTCTGTGCAATTCAATACTTGAACCTCAACTACCACAGTAATAACTGATTCAACCAAAATGACCAAAGCATGACGTAAATCTTGGTGGATGCAGGTTTGACAGGGAATTGTGTATATCGAGTCTCAAAGTTACTTCCCCACCCACTGCTTATTACGAAAGGAAAAATCCTTTAATCCTTTAAGCGGAAGAACCTGGCAGATACCACATCAACCAAAAGATCAAAAGTGAGTATCCCCGACAACAGGACAGATGGACATGCTGCCTCCTGACGCGATGCACGGAGAAGCACATGTCGCTAGTGGCCCATCCCTGCCAACGCTACGGTTCCTAAATTTAACCACAAGGACACATCAGACAAATCCAGACTGAGGGGATTCTGTAAATAAATGGTCACTCTCCAAACAATGTCAATGTCCTAAAAGACACGGAAAGGCAAAAGAAGTGCTCCTGACTCAGGGAAATAAAGAAGCATGATAACTAAACGCAGTAAGTGATTCTGGGCTGGATCCTGGACTGGAGAAAAATTAATGAAGGAAGGACATGTCGGGAAAAATAGAGAAATCCAAAAGTGGACTGTATTAGAGAATTCTATTAGATCAGTGTTAAATTTCCTTTATTTGATAACTGAACTATCTTGGAAAATACAAGAATGGCCTTGTCAGAATACGTAAATATTAACATGGTAAAGGGACAGGATGCACACAACTTACGGTCACACAGTTCAGAAAAAAATAATACGATAGAGAATAAGAGTGAATGTGGCCAAGGGTTAACAGTGGGCGAATATTGCCAAGGGGTATATGGGAATTATTTGTATTATCAATGTAACTTTCTATAAATGTGAAATGATTTCAAAATAAAACCTGAGAAAAATAAATATTTGAAGCTGATGCTTCTAAGGATTCTGAATACCTAACAAGTGGATCATTTTCCCAATCTGATCTCCATATACCCAAAGTCCAATCCAACAGCAATCCAAAGTCATCTTCGATTACCTATGTGGTGTTCGGGTTTAAAACAGCCAATGTTGAGTGCCATTCCACACTGATGACAAGGTGTGACTCCGTGGATCTGAGTCAGGTGCATGTCTGCCTCCTCCCAACCTTGTTACCCTCCTGCAGCCTTCCCCAAACCACACTGCAGTTAGAGAAACAGACCTCTCCCATCAAGCAGCTGCTATTCTTCAACTGGGAATACAGCAAAAGGGGCGCCTCCTTGCTAAAAACTCCAAGTTAATTTCTGCTTATGCCAGGCAGTAAAGCAGAACCAAAGCAGATGAGTGATCAACAACATGCAAGGGAAACAGTAAAGCAAACGTCCCTCCCCAAACAAATAAAACTCGATAAAGCCAATAAAAAGCTGACAAAGCACACATTCACTACAGAGCACCTGGAAAAGACAAGCTAACAGAATGTTCATCACTGAGAAGCTAGCCCCCAAATGGGTAATACACAAACATGTTAGTGACATGAAGCCATAAAATAAAGAGGGAGGAAAAAAGGGAGAAAACAGCAAGAGGGAACAGGAAGCAAGCGCGAGAAAGGCCCCACATGAGCACACTGCTAACACCCAGCTCGCCTTCCTCCCCAGTGTCTTCGCATATTTTCCCTCCACACTTTCACTTCCATTTAGTCTTCTACTGTCCTCCAGCGCACCTACTGTAGGGTCTCTGTGAGACTAACAGCTGTAGGAGCACAGCTCTGACTACAGTGTAACGATTTGCATCTTATAACCATACTCCTTTTCTTCTTCCCTTGCTGTCAAGAGGCACAGAACAATAGTCTCTCTATTAGGAACAATCTTACAAACAATTCACTTTGGAAAGGAGGAGAATGATAGCACATATCAATAGCTCATAGTCTAACAAAGAAGGCAGGAATTGGAGGAGTAGATAACCAGCAAATTTAGAAAGTCAAGGCTGAACAAAGATGACCTGGGAAGAAGGGATGAATTTTAGTCTCTTATACTCAGTATACTCTCCATTAGGTACGAGCACGCTGTGGCACAGTATTTACTGTACTTTAGCTTATTCCAGATCAGCTCTGTTACAGAGCGGTGGCCCTCTTCTGGGCAAGCTCTCTATCAGATTAATCTCTGTAACCCAACAGCAAACACTACCTTGTTTTTTTTTTTAAAGATTTTATTTATTTGAGAGAGAGAATGAGAGAGAGAGAGCAGGAGAGGGGGGAGGGTCAGAGGGAGAAGCAGACTCCCTGCCGAGCAGGGAGCCCGATGCGGGACTCGATTCAGGGACTCCAGGATCATGACCTGAGCCGAAGGCAGTCGCTTAACCAACTGAGCCACCCAGGCGCCCAAACACTACCTTGTTTAAAGAAGGCACTTTAATAGGCCCTTACAGAATGCCTAACTGCAAAACAGGCAAAGGTACTTTATCCCGACCCTATCCCTGTGTTCAATCCCATTTTCTCAGGCAGCACATTTTCAAATCCTCTGTCCACCGGATCTGTACACTAGCTTTCTCAATCTTCCTCCAATCTCAATTCAAACTCCAGTTTCTGAATGCTGCAGGTTGATGCCCTTTTAATAAAAGAATCAGAATAATCAACCTTGTGAAAGTTGACTAACTCAAACCTAAAATTTAAATCAATTTTGAACCCCAAATCCCTAATTTAAGAAATACGGGATATGAGGGGCAGCCGGGTGGCACAGTCAATTGAGCATCTGACTCCTGCTTTTGGCTTGGGTCATGATCTTGGGGTCATGAATGCTCAGGACAAAGTCTGCTTGAGATTCTCCTTCTCCACCCACCCCCCCGCCAAATAAATAAATCCTAAAAAAAAAAAAGAAATATGGAATGTGTATATGGACATTTGTATGTATACGCACATATGTGGGGGGGCAGGAAGCAAGTTTTCAGGCATTCCTTGCTTCTAAATCAACTCTTACCTACACTGCCAAGGAGATTATAACATATATTTGTTAGCACATATAGACGCTTCATTGGTCATTAAGTCAGACCAGCAGAGTCTGCAGCTGAATTTCCAGCAAACCCCTAACACATATATATATATATATACATATATACATACATATATATATATAAAATCATAAGCCTTTACCTGTAGCTTCTTATGTAGACCCTTCTCAGACCATACTATGTAGGTCCCAACTCAGAGAGAGGAGGCGCTGTAGAAAGAAATAAAAAAAGGCTCCAAAAAATAAAACTTAGTATGAGGTAGAAATACTAAGGGGTAGGGGACAGGAAGTACTGCAAAATACCCATGGTTCAACAAGCCCATTTAAAATTTAGCTTATTCTTACAAGTGAGTTTTAAATAATTTAAGAAGAGGTTTTATAGTTAAGATTAAAGGTAGTAGCTTTTTTCGGGGAAAGGAAGAAGATGAGGAATATAAACAAAGTATAAAGAATAAGAGAATAATAGCTGACAATTCAGCTTTTTCCCTAAGACAAATTTTATCCTTTTGCTCTAATACAGGTTTTTCTGTCTTCCCTCCCAAAACTAAGAGACAGAGACTGACATTTTAACTAGAGCAAAGTTCCGACTGCTAGGTTTCTACACACATGTGCACACAAAGGCTTGTACTCAAATGTTCACAGCAGCCTTATTTATGACAGCCAAGCACTGGATACAGTCTAGATATCCATCCAATGGTGAACGGACTGGACAAGTTGTGACACATTCACACAATGGAATACTATTTAGCAATAAAAAGAAGTGAAGTATTGATGAACTCACCACACGGGTGAGTCTCTAGACTACTATGCTAAGTTCAAGAAAGACACAAAGGACCACATAATGTGTGATTCTAATCACAGGAAATGCTAGCAATAGCCACCAGACAGAATGGAGGTCCAGGGACCAGGGGTGGGAGAGGTTAACTCCAAGGAGACACAAGGAGACTCTCTGGGGTAAGAGAAATGCTCCACATCATGATCGTTATGGTGGTGGTTTAAATACATTCATTTGTCATAACTAAAACTGCACACTTAAAATTAGTAGATTTTACTGTATGCAAATGTACATCAATAAAGCTGATTTCTTTAAAAATAATGAAATAGGACAAAAGAAACAGCCATTCTCATTTAAGATGTTATAGCTATGTGAGGCATAAGATAAATATTACAAGTTCCAAGAGGAGCCACATCTTCCTGAAAGTATCTGTGTACTAAGTAATTATTTTATTTTTTATATATTAAAATAACTTTCTAAATAATTTCATTTAGATATAAGCAGAGAAACAAAATTTCCCTTTCTTACCTTCTCTCTCTATCCACTTCTTTTATTCTCTCAGTACCTTGAAAATGATTTGGTACCTTGAGTAAGATCAACTTGGACTGCTTTTCATTCATTTTTTATTTTTATTTTAAAGTAAGCTCTACATAGGGTGCCTGGCTGGCTCAGTCAGCTGAGCATCTGATTCTTGATCTCAGCTCAGGTCATGAGTTCACGCCCCGTGTTGGGCTCTAACATTGGGGGTGGAGCCTACTTAAAAAAAATTTAAAAAAAAAAGAAAAGAAAAGAAAAGAAAAATAAAGTAAGCTCTAAGCCCAATATGGGGGGTGGGGTGGTGTGAACTCAGGACCCTGAGTTTGAGAGTCACACGCTCCACTGACAGAGCCAGCCAGCACCCCTAGGATTGCTTTATAAATAACACACGTTATTATTTTACAACAAGCATAAAGCATGAATAGGAGCTTGAACAAGTTCACCATCAATTTTTAAAGTTGGGGGGAGGAAGCTTATAATTCTAACAAATTCTACTAAATATTATTTCCTGGTCCTAGATTTTCAAGTATAACTGACAAGAATTTATTGCATTTCAACAAAAGATACCTCCCAAATAAAGGCAACATAGCTCATTCCTTTCATCAGGAATTGTTTCTGAATGTTTACTGATTCTTCAGAAAATACAAGAAAGCAGTTTTCTCATACTGCCTTGCTCAATCATTAAAGTTATGTTACAAAATAATTCATGTTCCTGAAGTTTTCAATTTCTCAAATCAAAGCTTCCATTAAAAAAAAAAAAGATCTTTTGAAAAGATCAGTAACCAGTTTTCAAATATAAAACCTAAAGATAAACTTATAGTAAACTGTGTAATTTGAGCCAAGAGACTTCTTTTTTTTTTAAGATTTTTATTTATTTGCGAGAGAGAGAATGAGAGACAGAGAGCATGAGAGGGAGGAGGGTCAGAGGGAGAAGCAGACTCCCTGCTGAGCAGGGAGTCCGATGCGGGACTCGATCCCGGGACTCCAGGACCATGACCTGAGCTGAAGGCAGTCGCTTAACCAACTGAGCCACCCAGGCGCCCGAGCCAAGAGACTTCTTTAGGAACTTAAAAAGAATTTAAAAGTATTTTTAAGAAAAATTATAATTCAGGGCGCCTGGGTGGCTCAGTCGTTAAGCGTCTGCCTTCAGCTCAGGTCATGATCCCAGGATCCTGGGATTAAGCCCCAAATCAGGCTCACTGCTCAGCGGGAAGCCTGCTTCTCCCTCTCCCACTCCCCCTACTTGTGTTCCCTCTCTCGCTGTGTCTCTCTCGGTCTTACTAAAATCTTAAAAAAAAAAAAAAAAAGAAAAATTATAATTCATTTCAAACATTTTAACTTCTTTACCACAAAGTTCAAATGCTCAAAATAATAGCTATTTTTTATGAGTAGCCTTTCAATTTAAACAATTTTTCTCCATTCTCTTAGTATAATGGTCATACCAATATTACCAAGGTAACGATACTCCCAGGCATACACCTTCCGTGAACCCACTCACGCATCTGCTGACTCTGCAGAGCCGTGAGGGATGAAACTATATAAGACACAAATCCAGCCTCAATGAGTTAGGTGGGGGTTCTTGCTCCCATAATTCTTAACCACTTACAAGTCTGAATAAAATGTTACTACCCATCCAATAAAAAATGTTATTACTGAATATTTGATGTTTTATTTTATTTATTTTTAAAGATTTCATTTATTTATTTGATACAGAGAGAGAGAGTGAGAGAGCACAAGCAGGGGGAGCAGCAGAGGGAGAGGGAGAAGCAGGTACCCCGCTAAGCAGAGCCAGACCCCCTGGGGGCAGAGGAGGGGTCGATCCCAGGACTCTGGGATCATGACCTGAGCTGAAGGCAGATGCTCAACCGACTGAGCCACCCAGGCGCCCCTGAATAATTGATGTTTTAAATACCATTTTTAGTTTATTATATTCTGTTCATTGAGAATACAAGAGGTTTTTTTTTTTAAGTTTCCAACAACCATGAAATCTTTTTTTTCTACAAATCCTTTCATTAATCCCAGTTAACAATCATCTTGCATATAAATACTATCTGTTGAAAGTGGGATAAATATATGGAGAGAAGTAAATAAAAAAACAGCACTGCTAAGAAACACAGCACATGTTAATACATAAGTCACTTTCCTGGCCAACGTTAAACCATGTAATTTGGCCCATTACAATTTGATAACACTAAATGTTAGAAGCCATCGGTCTTGCTCACCACTGTATTTCTAATACCTGACACAGCTGCATTAAACAGGTGTTCCAGGTGCTCAAATGTTTACATAATGGATTAACACGTGACGTGCATTTATCCACACCGGAAAAACAAACCCTGAGCCTCTTACAGACCAACCAGAGGAAATTCAATCTCTAGGTAAAAACCAAATTACCAGTCTTTTTCATTTTATTGTTTAGGATCAATCAGGGGATTCTGGAACAGTGCAGAACACACTAATCTGATTTAAATTAGCAATTTTCCTTCTTCCAGGCCATTAAACAGTCAGTAGATTAATCTATAGCAATCTAAAAATAGGCAGCCAGATGATGAGTCTGTGTGTTTAAGGCTTTCTAATTTATCTCCATTCTCTTCAGGAATTCAACAACACCCAGGGGTCACAGTATACAAGTACAATCCATGTAGTAGTCTCTTTTCCACATCATTAAAATATCTACATGTATACTTTTCACCACCTCTACTGCTAAAGCAAGTGCCAGTAACTTGACTGACTTTCAAGTCTCCCTTAACTAGGAACAAAAGTAGAACAAAAGCATATTAGCTTCAGAGCTATTTAGGAGTCGACCCCAGAATCTGCACCGATAGTGGTTTCCACATCACACAGAGATCATCTTGATAATTTTAAGTTCCTATGTTAGCGATCCCTGACTTGGAATTGTTAGGCAGGCCTGAATCAGTCATCCCAAGATCAGGCTTTTCTGTTTCTAGACACAAAATAAACAGCTCAGCACCACAGAGTGAAGCTATTTAGCATTCAGCCGAAAACTTTCCAGTTCATCAACAATGGGTCCTATAATAGCTCCTCGGTCTTAAATCTTAAAAAGTCCAACTGGCTCCAGCGCTGGCCTCAATATATTGCTAGGAAGTTAAAGTCCCAATGACCTGGCTTTAAGTCAGCCAAAAGCAAAGACCGAGGAGAGTAGGATTCAAAATTTCAAGAGAAAAGAGAAAAAGAGTTCTCCTGAACTGATCTCTAAAAACATGGATTTCTGTATATAACCTTTACATGAGTGTTTCTCAAATACATGGATTAACAACGTCAGAAAATCACAAATTCCTAGGTCCTAGCCCATACCTACTGAATCAGTTTCCGGAGACGGAGACCAAGGATTAGCACTCTAACAAGCTTCCAAGGGATTCTCAGATTCAAGTTTGAGAACCACTACTTTATATACATACTGGTAAATATTATTTTAGCAGAACACAGCAAATACATATTTGTAGCAGAAATCAAAATGGGTTTCAAATCACTGTAAAGCTGGTAACTTTAGAATAATTTTGGTCAACTAAATTAGGTCAGGGCGCCTGGGTGGCTCAGCTGGTAAGTGATTGCCTTTGGCTCAGGTCATGGTCCTGGAGTCCCCGCATCGGGCTCCCTTCTCCCTCTGACCCTCCCCCTTCTCATGCTCTCTCTCTCTCTCATATAAATAAAAATTAAAATAAATAAATAAATAAAATTAGGTCAAAGGATGCATCTCAAAAGTAATCTGTCAAAAAACAATGGTTTCCCGCTATAAACTTTGGAGAACCACTATTTAAAATTTTAGGAAGTGCTTTCTGTTGGTTGGACATAAGCAACCATGGTCTGTAACTACAGTAGCTGGTAGGGAACAAGTGATTTTACCTCCCCACCTTTCAGTAATAGGCATGATAACTAC